AAAAAAAAAAAAAAAAAAAAAAAAGAAAGTGCTCCAAAAACCGAAGTATTACACTTAAAGTTATCAATAGCACGAGTTAAAAGATTGTCTTCTCTCTTCTTTTCTTCTAAAGATTACAATCACTTGCATGATTCAGCAATCTGATGGACTAAATTTGACACATTCAAGTGTCAGGACATCGACAGTACAAATCAACCGGCTATTTTTGGGTAGCAATTCAATGAACACAGATGATGGAGTATCCGGTTGCTAAACGTTTCTAAAATTTAAAAAAAGCTAACACTATCCAACTTAATTCATCTCTCTTTATTCTTTGCTTCACAAATTCGACAAAAATGACGGTTGGCCACCACAGTATAAGATTCAACAAAAACAAAGCAAATCAATCTGGCAGAGAGACCAATCATTATTCTCAAAGATTTTATATTCAGTGAAAGAAGGTTTATAGCGCTGATACAAGCGAACAGAAATAGAGTTAGTGGAGGGAAGGGGATGAGAGAGAGAGAGAGAGAGATTTCTGGTTCCACGGCTTCCAAGCATTCAACTGAGTCACAGAATGAACTCTTGAAAGATATGCAGAAATTCCTCTATCACATTCAGATATTACCTTATTAAGATTCTGATTTATTTCCTATTAACAGATCTTAGGAAACCATTTATGTAATGGTAAAGGCTGTTATATTTCCTTTTCTAGTTTGTCTAGCCATTAGGATCTTTCAAATAGCTGTACATTATTTCTTTTATATCTTGTAATTTCTAGTCCTATAAATCTGTAAGTATCATTCCTTTCAAATTAATAGAACCTATTAAGTCATTTCCACAGGAAGAAAGCCAATAGTTTATATATCCTTGTACGGCTAAAGGATTGAAAGTGAGACGTGGTTTTAACAAAAGTTTTCAATTAACTTTAGCAAAGTACACACCTGAATCTCGAGAACAGCTTCGCCTGTTCTTGTAGATTGTCCTCCAGCTTCTGGGACCAAATTTTTGGCTTTGTGACACTAAAATAAGCAATCATAAAAGACGTTGAAGATTTCCTTGCATGAAACATGCCGAAATCACATCAAGATTAGCTTATGCAAGTCATGTTGACATAATCATTTTGTGAGATCTGATACCTCATCAAATATGATTAGACCATCATACTGGGGTCCACACCATTGTACAAGCTGCTGCAAACGAGAACGACCTTTTTCAGAAGATGCTATGAGGCTGCTATACGTCAAGAAAACAACTCCTTCCCTAATGCCAACGGACTTTGAATCAAGCTTAGAATAAGGAAGCTTGTTCAAAGCATGCACTACAAGATAAAAAAGTATAAGAAAACCAAACTCAGAAGTCCTCTAAACCTCAAATGGTTTAGGTTAACAATAACCAAAATATTTTGACTAGTGAACCATATTATGATATCATTTTACATACATTCCTAGACAGAGAGCGAAAAAGAAAATAATACAATTAAATGAAATTATCATCTTATTACTTCATTTAACCCCTAGCAGATCCATATATATCAAGTACGAATGTACATTGACACAATTAAATTCGAAAACATCACAAGCAGAAAGTATAAAATCAAAAATTGGGGGATTGAAACTATATTTTACTTAATAAAAAGGAAAAACCAAATTAAGCCCTTGATATTGGTTGACCAAACATAGACTAAAGAGAAGGTCATCCTTGCTTATTGCTTCCATATGCAGGTTTATTATCTTTCTTCCCCTTCCTTTGGTTTCAAATGGTGAACTGGTTAAACTATTGTGTCGTCTAACATCAAACACCTTCAATTAAGATTCAAACGACCACCATACCTATCAGTCCTAAAATAGATGGAAGGACCAAATTTGTGTATTAATTTTTATTTTTTTTTATAATCGTGGATGTCCGGGCCAGCTTGCGCGCACCTCGACAAACCCCAAAAGGTCCTAAAGTTTACGATCGGGTACTCACCTCAGTGCCTGAGGGGATTGGAACTGATAACCATTGGGGAACAAACCCAAATTTGTGTATTAATATTATTTGCTAATTCAAGAAGTTGTTTTCAAAATATAAAACATAACATGGGCAAATCACTTGTCTTGATAAATATTGAAGTTTAAATATGTGCAACTGAATGCCCCTATCCCTCCCCAAAAAAGAAACTCTATGACGACAGATATATGGAAAGAAAGGAACATGAGAAGATAACAGCCCCAACTTCAAGGCAGTTAATAGAAAAAATTCATGTACAAAAGCAGCATGTACCTTCTATATACATTGCACCCACATCATCCAAGTCTCTCCTAGAATCAAATTTCAAGTCTGAACCAATGGAAATCCACCTGCGTAAGGACATTAGAAGAAGAAAAAATTTTGAAATCGAATTTAATTAGACACTGCATCACAACTTAGCCAATCACTGGTGCTCAACAAAATTAAGATAAGACCGTGTGACACCTAACTTGCACTAAATAATGCATCTCACAGAACACTTACAATGCTTTCGTTCTCCCTTGGTGCCAGTTCTCCCATATTAACCCTGCAATAGTTCGTCCTTTACCCACACCTGCACCATCTCCAAGAAAAAATCCAGCCCTTGCACCATTCGGAAGGTGCTGAAGATGCCTCTGTAATGGAAAAAGATAACATTGTAAACATAAATACAACATACATATATCTGTCTCTATGTGTGTCAAGTTGTAAAAGCAACCTGACAAGCATAGACCAACGTTTCAATTTGCAAGCATGACAGTGCTTTTGAATTTTCCAGGTCATCGTTAATTCTCAGATCATAAGTAGGTGCAGGAGGCTGCACTGCAGATAAGGAAGATGTCTCCACAATAGGATCTGGATGGGGAGGACCAATGGACAGTTTGGGAGGACGCTGAAAAGAAATACAGTTCAATGCAGAGTGAAGGTAGCTAGAGAAAACAGATTATTCAAGGAGGATAAGGACTCATACATAATCCATGAATGTTTCTCCCACCATTCCACCTTCATCTTCTTCACGCTCAACTTCAATGGCTACCTGAATGGCGTTAAAAGGAAAATATCAACAATTTACTGTAATTCCAAGAAAATACACTATTAAGAAAGATATACTTTAAAACAAGCAACTTCTAAACATGCAATTGATAATAAAAATAGATAAAAAAAATTCCGGATGATACTCACAAAGAACTCAACATAATATCTTCCTGTGCCAAAAATGTGTTAGGAGACCCAACTTTAAGGGAACTTCTATGCAAGATCCTTTAAAACCTTGAAGCCTGAAGGATCTAGATTTTGAAGTTTCTTCTCTCCAAATTGACTGAATTAAGACACTTACAATTTCATTTAAAATCTCTCCCATTCCCCTCGTTAAAAGGATTATGAAAAAAGGCCTCAATCACCATAGGCACAACCAATCTCACCTGTAAATGGCAAACACGTTTTTTCTTCAACTTCCAAAAGAGACAAGTCCATATTCATTAGGTCATCCTCCCTTACAGTAAATTAAGGTCTTTGAACTAACGGGTGTTTCCTGCACTAGTAATCATTTTTGACAAAGTAAAGGAGACTATTGTCGTATTACCCTGATTGTAATGCTATATCTTCTTAAGATAAGAACACTTTCGCAACTTCCCTTCAAAATTCTCTCCTCCAAACAAAAGCCATTGGAACGGAACTCAACCGGCATCATCGGACTCAGCTTTCTAATATTTTAGTTCATTTCTCTTCCGTTTTCTCCTACGAGAAATGAGATAGCGGACACTCGAAAAGCGAAGAACTAATATGGAAGCATTTTTAAGGTAACACAAAGGTTAAACTCATGCTTAGAGGGATACAAAATTCAATGAGTGTAATTAGAGTCAAATGACAAATAAGAATATACAAAAAAAAAAAATTGAACAAAATGGAGGATCTGAATAAAAACGATGAATCAGGAAAAGAAAGAGAAAGAATAGATGTTAGATCTTACAGCAAGAATGTATCTTTGTATGCACGAGTGGCAAGTACGGACGCTAATATTGTTTTATATGAGTAAAAGCTCCAGCATGTACTATTCTATTAAGATATTTTATTCCTAATATTTATTTTTCTAGCAAGGAACAGTAATTTTGCGCATTAAATGGGATCGGCAGTTGTCAAGTTACAAATTACGGTCTTTCTCAGAGATTATCTGCATTGAATATTATTTTATTTTACTTTTTACGAGGACATAGCATGCTTACCAAGTTAAACATGTAATATGTACAAAGGAATGTCGAAGTTTATAACATGAATAAAAAGGTGTAGGGTATTGATTCATTTGAAGACACGTAATTAATGAAAACATTATTAAGCCCCTGTTTAAGCCACATTTTGAGAGAAAAAAATGTATTTTTGAATAGTGATTTTCGGAGAATGTGTGATTAAAAATGAAGAAAATTTTTTCGATTTACGTGTAATATTATTTTATTGAAAAATGTGTTGTTGAAAATGAGTTTTGAAAAATGAATTTTTGATAAAATGGGGCCCAAACAAGGGCTAAAGCTCGTACGGTAAAATATCCAAGTTGCCCGTAATCTTTCCCAAATGTTTCTCAATTCCATTGAATTTAAAAAGTTTTCAGACTTGCCAATGCCAATGAACTTTCTCAAATGTTTCCAAGTTGCCATTGAAATCTAAATTTTTTTCTAGTTGCCACTGAACTTACAAAAATGTTATTTCATGTGTCATTAGCTATTTCAAAAGTTAACAGACTTAACTTTCTAACGTGCAATGACAATTGAGAAATATTTGAGAAAGTAGTGGCAACTTGGAAAACGTTTAAAGTATAATGCCAAATAGTAAACATTTGGGAAAGTTTAGTGGCAACTAGGATATTTAACTCTCACTTCTTGTATATCACATGTCAAAATATTACTATTTTCATTACAAAATCAATACTTTTTTTTTACATAAATGTGATGGGTAAAAGTCCAAATGTTAAAGCTGAAATAGAAGATGAGATCCTTGATATATATCCAATGAAATATCTCAACGAAGTATGACAAGGTTCAATCTTTGACACTGGAAAGCCAACTTTGACTAACTTTTTTTATTTTCACTTCCTCCAATGATTGAACATCTAGCTCAATTGCTAGATCAATTATTTTTGCACTGTAGACAAGGTACATCCATTGTTGGGAAATATCTAGCTATCGCAAAGTTGTGATATTTATCAATTCCCCACATTATAGCGTCTAGGTTTCTCAAAGGTTTAAATCCTGAAATCTTGCCTGACAATAATTCTGCACCTCAATCCTAACTTTTTTTTTTTTACCCTTTTTAACTAGGTCTCTTAACTTTAAAGTATCAATTGAGACTAACCACCAAATATGCTACAAGTAATAATCTCGCAAAACTTCACATGGACCATAGTGAAATACTCGAGACAAGAAGGTTTATCCGAATAGACATCTCAAGAATCTTAATTACTGAGATTGGAGCAAATTATTTAAGAAAATCCTCTTAGAAACAATTCATAATCAAATATCATTTAGTCTTTTCAGAAAATAGAGAGATTCCTTCAAAAGGCAATCCATTGTTATTACTTTCTAAACAGAGCACGATTGATCATTAACTAATATCAAGCATAGTCAGTAGTACACTACGTTCCTTCACTCAATAAGCCACACGTGAAATACACTTAATTGGTAATGTCCCACAAATTTTTATTAATGACACCCCATAAATGGCTATCCATTCGCTAGGGAATCCAAAATTCACATTTCCAGAAAAGAAATTCAACGGCATTCACAAAAAATAACATCAATAAGTGAGCAACCAACCTTCCAATTTCCATGTCACTACATACTTTGCTACCACTAAAAATTTAAAGCAAAAAATAGGAGAAATAAAAAGAGGAAACCTCATTGACTTCTTCAGGAGGCAGCGGCAGGTGAAGATCCGAAGAGAACTGTTGAAACTTTGACAGATCGACTGCCAGTTCAATGCCGCACTGGGGACAATTGAAGCGTGACAAACCATGGGGAACATTAAGCAAGGCCTTGCAGTGAGCGCAAGGCAGCTGTATCTTCGTCGGATCAACGCCGTATGCTGGAACATTACGCTGTTGATGGACCTGGACCTGGTTGGGCTGCATCAGCTCAGGCGGCAGCATTTGCGGCAATTTGCAACTAGGGCAAGCGAACTCCGTCAAACCCGGGCCCACTGTCAGCACCATCTTGCATCCCGCGCAACGCACCTGGCAACCCCCTCCGTTTCCTCCGATAGATTGAGCTCGAGGTGAAGGCGGTGCCAGTAGAGGAGGCGGCGGAGGATGGATAATCGGGGGCGGCGGCGCCGATGGCTGCCCCATTTCGATTTATTCTATACTCCAAAAAATTGAAAATGTTATTGAAATTGAACAGAAAAAAACATTAATTTGAGGTGTTATTACAGTATTACAGATAATTGGAGGAATCTGATGACGAAGGAGCAAAGGGATTTCGCGGTGTGTTCGCGTTTCGACGTGCACGGTGCCGACTCTCGAGTCTTGACGCTTGATGTGCGTGCATGCGGAGTCACCTTAGTTCCAACGGATCACTTCAGTTACTATTTCTTTCTACCTATGGGCTTGGAGAATTTTCATTTGGTAATTATATACTCAGTACAGTTTTATTAAATATATTGTATTAATATATTTTAATTTTTAATTTCCTCGATTTTTGCTTATTGTAACAATTATTTTCTTGACTTTTTTCATTAAATAATTATCTTCAACATTTCATTGATCTCTCGTTGTTGATGATATCCAAATATTTTGTTTTCATACTTTGAAATGGGGGAAATTATTTTTCCATACTTTAAATATATTTATTTATTTTAAATATGATTAAAAATAAATTATTTTACGTCATTTCAACGGACTGTTAGATATAAAATTATTATCATATACACAATATGTTAATTAATGAATAATTTAAGTATAAGAATGACATGAAAAACTGTTAGGGACATAAGCGCTATAATGAGCAAAAATTAAGAAGTTCAAGTACAATTAAAATGTTGTACAAAAAATAAAAATTATGGTGTGAATATAATTACATTTTTATATTATTTCTTTTCTTTCACCCTTTATTTTCCTTATTAGAGGGGAATTTGAATTGCAACAAATATTGCATGTTTGAGCCACATTTTTCGATGAAAATACATTTTGGAATAATATTTTTATAGAGAATGTATAGTTAAAAAATAAGAAAATATTTTGATTTTGTGTATAATATTATTTTATTGAAAAATATGTGATTATAAATAAAAAGTAAAAATGAGACATACTAATTTAAACTCGGATATTTGAGATCAACTCAAATTAGTTATTGCTGAAGTTCGATGAGACATAATGATTGAAAATTTCTTACACATTGTACAAATAATCAATTAACAAATGACATTTGGAAGGTCTTACATCGCGCCCACCAATTCTACCAATCAAATGTCTTCGCTTCATTCCCTAATTAGTTCATTAATTGTTGGGAACCACATGTAAGGTTAAACTCATAATAACTCGAGAGAGTCGAGCTCAGTAACCAATCCAAACATGTCATGATGTACTTTCTCAACTCGATACTGTAGTTGATAAGATAAGAAAATGAAGAATGCACGATAGTCATTCCCTATAAAAGGAATAATGAGAGTCTTGGAAGACGGGGAAAAAGAAAGATTCTAAATATTTCATATTTCAAATATCTCATTTGAGAAAAAAGAGAAAACACCAGTGTTCTAAAAAGCGCGCCTATGCGGGAAGCGTGATGAAAAAGCGAGAATTGAGATGTCAACGACAATGTTGACTGCTTAATGCTCGCCTAGGTGTTCTTAGGCAACGCTTAAGCGCGTTTTGGCCTTAAGCCTAACCGCTATATGTTCGCCTAGGCGCGCCTCCACCTCAGGCCCAGATTTTAAGGGGAACCCAATTTTTTTGTTTTTTTAATAAAACCCACAGTCCAAACTCAGTAGTCCACTATCCCTTCAAACTTCAAAAACTCCAGACTCCAGATAACTGAGAAGACGGAAGAACGGGGAAAAAAGACTGAAGAACGACGCAAAACCTCTCAATTTCTCCGTACATCGTACTGATTTGGGTATCAGGTATGTATAAGAAATGATCAAAAGGAAATAAAGGAGCCTGAGGATGATGATTTTGTATCGGACGATACGGAGGACGAATTAGATGAAGAAGATATTGAATTGAAGTCTGATAAAGAGTTAAATTAGGTACGATTTAAGCTACAAGTTATCTACGTTATATAATTATAATTTTGAAACTTATTTTTATGTATAAATTATTAAGTAAAATACAGTATTTTATAATTTTAGAAGTAGGAATTATTAACTAAATACTGTATTTTATAATTTTAGATGTTCAGTATGTATTATTTGAATTATTGAATTTTTTTTACAATGATTAAAAATTTAAAATAAAAAAACGTTTTTTTTACTCATAAGCTTCGCCTAGGCTCGTAAAGCTTGAAGCTTGACCTCCACGCTTAGCCACGTTTTACGCTTTTTAGAACATTGGAAAACACTTGTAGTTACAATTATAACTTGTAAATCATTATCAATAAAAATCTTATTTACATTTTAAGTTGGCTTGAATTTTGTTCATACAATTTTCGACGTCAACAATAATAAACCAAAACAAGAAATTTAGGCCCCTAAATTATCGATATCTTGAGTTACAGTAGTTTGTTTAGTAAGTTAGATTAAAAATCATGTTAACTTTACTATTACAGGGTATAAAAAGAAATTAACCCGTAACATCCCTAAACTATGAAGTAACTGTACAAACCGTGCCTAACGTTCTAAAACTGACAGTTACCCTCTCAATCTATCAATTCACTGCGCAAATCATCCTTTTTAACATGATCCATCTGCTATTGCCATTAAACCTACGTGTTCTTGTCATGTGGAATTAAAGGAAATAAAACTCGAGGAAAATATGGTGCACCCAATATCATGAACAATTGGAAGGAAAGGGAACCTCACTTTCATCCTTTCGACATTGGAAAAACTCTGTGACTCAAGGGATATAGTAAGATCACGTATGAGCTCTATTATTTAAAGTTAATTTGTCCAAACTCATTTTCAACCATAAATTATATTAATAAAATAATTTTGCACGTAAATTTTTTTGAAAAATTCTTATTTCTTAACCATGTATTATTCAAAAAATCATTTTTTACAAAATCTATTTTCAAAAATGGGGTCAAACAATGGCTTAACTCTGAAAACTCCTAGTTTTATCGATCTAATCTGACTTCCAACCGAAACAAGGTAAGTCTTTTCTTCTTGCGTTGCTTCCTTTTTTATTCATTTAAAAAAAAAAAATTTAGGTTATTTCTTCATTTATATTTGAAGAAAACCCAACAATCATGTAAGTTTCGTTGCCGTTTCTCAGATTATTGTGTTGAAATGAAAAGTCGATTTACAGGACCTACAATTCTCCACCACATGATAGCGAGTGATAAATAAATGACCACTTCTATATTTTCTTTTACCTTTCGATTACATTTATATACTTTCAACGTCTTCTTCGCTATCTTCGTTCATAGGTATATAATTTTATGTACTTTTGATTACAAGAGACTAAAATGAAAAATAACAAGGTTTTCTAAAAAGCGGATAATTCAAACCTGGTAAAAGAAATGAACGAGAAAAGGAAAGAAGAGCTTATCGTTCACTTGTCGTCTCTAGACTATAAGCTCTCTCTTCAACTTTTTCGTCTTCAAAATCACACCTTTAATTTTTCTTCAATATTGCCTCGATGCATGGTTTCCATCCTACATGTTCAACTGTGTATAATTCTACACGTGTTATGATTCCCAAACGTATCGACGGCTCAAAATATAGCCTTTGTTTGGGGTTGCTCAAATTTTACGTTTTTAAGAAATGTGATGGAAGGTTCTCAACCCCTCATCTCGTGCTTAAAGTACCAAAATGTCCTTGAAGGTCATCCAAACTAGTCCAAACTTGGATAACAGAAATTTCCAGCTCGTACAAGCGAGATATTTGGCCTGCACTTTTTTCCTCTAATCGCATGCTTGTGCAAGCCATTTGGACTGTACAATCGAGCCAATGGTGCAGAAATCAATAAGAAAGCATTATTGGACCACTCAGCATCCACTTGCTTTTATTCACCTAAGATCATTGAATGAATAAGCTAATGAATCGAACAGAGTGACATAGAATGATTTGCATAATTGACTTAAATACTTTAAAAACAACTTCTTGTTTTCTGTAATAATTCCGTTTATAGTAAAATGAATTGTCGTTCAATTTATATTATAATTGCTGGCTCGCATTTTAAAATAAAGAAAAATACAATTCATCCCCAGTCCATGTGAATGTAAATGATTGGTTAAATGATAGGTGAAATTAAATAATTTATTTAATTTCACCTATCATTTAATGTCACATTAACGCCACATAAACTAGGGATGCATCCCCACTGGGGATGAATAGCATTTCTCTAAAATAAACCGTTAATTACAAGGATGCATTTAAGGTTATATGATTGGTTAATGTTGATCCCAAAAAATGAACTCAACAGATATCGGACCCACCCTTGCCACGTCAAGCAATGATCCGACGCGTTTCTACTGGGATAGAAACGGTAGTATAGTTGGAAGGAACGCGGGAGGTGCTTTTTGGCAAGAGACACAACTGTTCAAGTTCCGGTGGTTTTATTTAAACGGCCCTTGCGCTATCAACAAGAGCTCGATCAATTTCCCTAAAAATGAATACCTGTTTTTCAATGGAATATGTGGAAGGATAGATAAAAGAGAATATCTTGTAATGTGTTGTTATTTTAATACGGGTTGTATTATTCAAGATCAAGTTAAGTAAAGTGCACAAATGTCTTTCCCCCCTCTCTATACAATGAGAGGTTTATTTATACTAATCTAACTGACGTGGTAACCGTTAGATCAAATCCACGTGGCGACACCCCCTAGACTGAAGCCTCACATTAATGTCCAATCTTTACAATTATTGTTTTACATAAGATCCGTCGTTCTACTTTGCAGACTGACTCACTGATACACACTAATGCTATAGATACTATATGGCAGATGTCACGTCAATCAATTCTAAGAGATCTTCGAATCTGCGATGAGGAAACGTCTGGATTAAGGTTCAGTACTTCGGTCTTAAGGAGCATCTGCACCTGCATGAAGGGGCTTCGGACATATGAGCTTCTACCTTTGAACGAAGGAACCTCAGACTTAGAAGCCTCCGTCTTTGAATGAAGGAGCTTCGGACTCAGAAGCTTCTGTTGACCTTGCCTGTGTTAGCTTTCCCATTGATTTTTCAACTAGCTTT